TGCTCATTTGCAATCGCCCTTTCATGAGGCACCGTGCACTGCTCTGGACTGGTGCACGTGAGAGATGGAGAAGAGGAGGGGGAGGGGTGACGGAGGAGAATCGTAACCTCCTCCTTCGATTTCCGTCGCTCTCTTTTTGCTCTCTGCCACTCCATCTTTCGCTCTCACGCTCAGCCTTTTTTTTTTTTGCCCTTTTATTCTCTCGTCGCTCCTCACCTCAACGAGGGACAGCAGCATCTATTATTACTTATGAATGAATGTGTGTTGTGTGTGTGTGTGTGTGTGTGTGTGTGTGGATGAGAGGCAAACCGGCTGTAGCATTCCATCAGCGGTCAATCTTCAGGGATGGTCTGGCTGGATCGGACACTGCCACCTCCCATTTTAGTCCTGAAACTGGATCTTTGTCACAATTCCTCTCCTTTAGTTTTGTTTCCTCTCCTTCTCTCTTCCCTTATTATATCTCTTTTCCTTTCCTTCTTGTCCAGTTTCACGTTTTTCCTTGTCTCCAAAAACTCACCCACCTGACTGTTATCCCAGAAATGTACATTTCATCATCCATCCATTATCTATACACCGCTCAATCCTCACTAGGGTCTGGGGGGCTGGAGTCTATCCCAGCTGACTTAGGGTGAAGACAGGAGACACCCTGGACAGGTCACCAGTCTATCACAGGGCTACACTTAGAGACAGACAACCAAGCACACTCACATTCACACCTACGGACAATTTAGAATCACCAATTAACCTCAACATGTTTTTGGACTGTGTGGGAGGAAGCCGGAGAACCCGGAGAGAACCCACGCTGCACGGGGAGAACATGCAAACTCCACCGGGACGCGAACCAGCAGCCTTCTTGCTGCGAGGCAACAGTACTTACATTTCATCATCTTTAAAAAAAAAAAAGTCTTTTCGTCTTCTTTCAAACAACACAGTCGATTAAATGAGTTTGAGCAGCTCTCTGAGTTAGTTTAGTTCACTCTTCATCCCTCCTCTGTCCCCCCTCACATGTGGCTCAACGGCAGCCTCCTGCACTCGTCTCTATCTTTAGGGAGAACAAATGATAGAAGGAGGATATAAAAGACACACAAGAGGAGGAAGAGGCCAAAAGGTTGAGTGGTGAGAAGATGAGTGAATGAACAGCTGCATGAAAGAGGAGGCCGAGGTGAACAGAGGGTGGAGAGAGGGGTGTGTCGAAAGAGTGGTCAGAAGGTTGAGAAGAAGTGAAAGAGCTAGACAGGGGAGTGAGGACAGGGATAATCATCAATGGGGTTTTTAAAAATGTATTTTTTAAAAGGACCTGTTCAGTGAGCAGAACTAACATGATCTTAGTATCTCAGACTCAAACAACAAAAACAGACAGATGTCTCCATGCAATGACTTTGTGATCTCCGGCTCTTCTTTTCATTTTCTGCCTCAGCACCTCCGAGCTTCTCACCACCTCTAAATACATATCGACTGACAGAGCTGAAAAAGCAGTCCCCCTCCAGCTGGCGGGACTTCTGTGACAGCGTCTGCTATCTGGAGACTGCAGAGTGGTCTGATATTTGATAAACATGACACTGATTCATTATATGGGCTCATCAAGTGGCAGAGCTGAGATCAAAGGCTTCCTGGAATCTGATTGATTAGTTGTGACAAAAAAAAAAAAGAATCAATCAAAAAAAATAATCAGTTGCGACATTAAAAACTTTTGACAGGTGAAGTGAATTACATTGATCATCTTGCTACAATGCAGCGTTCTGATGGGAAGCCTTGGCAATCACGAGGATGTTACTTTGCCACATACATCCAAGTTAAACAATAAACCAACGTGACAAAGACCTCAATGCATCTACACAACCTCCAGACTCTTTAGATCCAGTCTTGCTTGAGCATCCATGAGATGGGCTGGAAAAAGCTCAATACACGGAGGCCTCACCCTGCAAACCAGAAAACGTCCCAGCATCAGACACCACAGAGGTCCCGTGTCCATGCCTCGATGGGTCGGAGCTGTTGTGGTGGCACGGAGGGCACCCACACAATTTAGTGCTGTGGTTGATTATCTGAAAAGATATTCACACAAACTAGTAATAAGTTAAAGCTGTGGTGGGCAGATTATTTTTTATGTAATTGAACAAAAATTCCATGTT